CCGCCCGTGGCCATGTCTGGGTAAGACAAGTGCCCCACGTGGGTGTAGGAGTTGTTGTGACTTGTGATAGTGGGTCCCTGTTTGTATGTGAAAATTACTATATTACCTTTAATGAAATTAATGAAGGTATAATTTTAGCTTTTTTATTAGCCATTAGATCATTCGATCTAATGGCTATAATTTATTCTTATTTCTTTCACTAAGAACTATTCTCATGTGAACCCAACCCTATATATATAAATAGGTTTTCAATTCGGTTCGGTTTCGGCCGATTCGACTCGATTAACTGATTTGTGCACCCCTACTCAAATCACTCCCTCCTTGAGAGCAAACCCTAATTTCGTCGATCACTTTGCAGACGATCTCCAATTGGGGCAATCAGATGAGGATGAAGCAGAGGAATTCGAGAGGGGAGGTGTCCAACCATGGGAGGGGTTGGGGGAGGGGCCTGAGATTGTTTGAGGGTTTTAGGTAGAAGGAGGAAGTTGGTCTCGCTGCGATCCAGGATGTCGTACCAGCAGCAACCGACTATGGCGCATAGAAGGGTGGGGACGTGGGCGCCGCAAACACTGATGACGAACCGAATGAGGACAGGGGAAGGAGATGTCGTACCTGGTGCTGAGGTGGCCGGTTAGGATGAGTGGGAGGAGAAGGACGACGTTGGCGACGCCCTGCCACCAGGACATCCCGAGGCCGACGAGGTAGGAGGGGACGCTGACGACGAGGCCAACCTAGACGCTGGCCATCATGAGGCCGGAGAAGGTCGTCTCATGTGGCTCAGTCAGACGGAGGTCATTGTAGGTGAGGGTGGCCGCACCAGCGGTCGGGGTCGTGTTTTGTATGTTTTTGTTGTTATTTTGTGTATTTTTTAGTGTTTTATTTGTCTTCGTTTTAGTTTATTTTAGGTTTTTCGCAGTTCATTCAGTCGTTTTTGCTCGTTTTAGTGTTTTCGTCATTTTAGGGACTTGTGCTTTTTTATCTCTCTTTTTATCACCCAACATGCCTGCACGCAGCCTATATATAAATCAAGTGAATTGTCTGATCTTTTTGGTTTTACAATATCTGTCTATATATATATATATATATATATATATATATATATATATATATATATATATGTATATATATATAGTTGTGATGTATTTATTGATCATGAGAGAGTTAGAAAATAGGTATGAATGAGATTGTCTAGTAAACATTAACTGGTGCTTCAATATTTTTCACTTTGTTTTTATTCAGACAAGAACAAGCTGGCATCACAATCACAAAATCCAACAGGGAAAATTAATTGTTTTTTTTTTTTTTTTTTAATTTGCATCATAAATTAAATGATGTGCTTGATGGTTGTTAACTTGCACTGAAAATACATGAATTACTCAAGGAGGATCGAAATAATACTGCTGGCTGCTGGAGGAGCCCACACAAGGTCAAAAGCTAAACATTTATAGTGAATGACATAATTAATAAATAAAGCCAGCTGAAAAATCAATTAGTACTGTTCTGAGGCAATGAGTAGCTCTTGACACATTTATTGGAGCACGATCCCACACAGCCATCAACTTTTTCACCATCTGCACACACACACACACACGAAGAAACAGATAAATTTATTTATTTTTGTTTCTAAAAGAAAAAAAAAAAGAAATAGATACATGGATATGATCAATTCGAGCGAGAAAGAGAAGAAGTTTCACTGACTGGTATCATTTCTTTTGCTGAAATTCGAGCACATAGAAATAGCGCAGCCAAGCTTGCAGTAGTCGAGGCCATCCAGATCTTGTAATTCACCAACATCATTCTGAGTTGGTTGGATGCAGGTTGGTACGCAGTCGATGACGCACTTACCAAGTGACTGAAGATCCGAAATATTGGTGAAGCACGGGAGGACGCATGTCGCGCAGCCAACGAGATTGATTGCACTCGACTTCCCAGTCAGCATTAGTCCGACTACCAAAATAACCAACACATTGACTGCTATCAATTTTCTCATGACCTTCTCCATCTTAATTAATTTGCAGATTATAATTTGCTTTGCCCAGATGAATGCTAGCTTATATAGTCTCACAGTATCACCACATAAGTTATAGTATACACACTTGAGTAAAGAAAAATGATGCTCATTGTCACTGTTGTCAAGTCATGTGAGTGGCCAGCAACACCTTTTTCTTACAACTTTGGTTGTCACTCACTAGTCACATTTTTTCAAAATCTTCAAATTGTTTTTCAGTTGATAATATACTGAGTTCGTTGAATGACCCCTTTTTCTTACAACTTTTGTTGTCACATTTTGCATAATCTTGAAATTGTTTTTCAATTGCAGACTATCTATCCCCTCATCAGATTGTCATGTTTATTAAGTATGAAAGTTAAAAGAAAAAATTGCACCATTCGTCCACTAACTATACTCTCGTTGCATTTTCGTCCTTTAATTGTTTCCGGTTTACAATTGGTACACTAACTTTTCTTTTTTTGTAATTTTAGTCCAAAATGACATTCCGGTGCTCATTTTCGCCGGAATAGCTGATTTAGCGCCCAATCAGATTGGAATTTTAATTCTCGGCGTGATGTGGCACGAGGTGGACCCAACTGTTTTTACACATGGAGCATAATAAGGAAAAATTGCACTATCCGTCCACTAACTTTAAATTCGTTGCACTTTCGTCCTTTAATTATTTCCGGTTTACAAAATCAGAATAAAAAAATTATTGAAAAAATCAAAAGAAAATGAAAAAACTTTAAATTAATATTAATACCTTATTTTTATTTATTTTTACTACCTACAAAATAAAATTATCCCAACTTATAATAAATCTACACATCTAAGTCAAAATAGTTAAATTAAAATATTTTAAAGAAAACATGAGAACAAAATAATGTAATTAGTATTTAATAAAATAAAATAAAAAATAAAACTAAAACTGAAAAATTGTCGTCGAGCCCGCCTAGGCGCCGCCTAACTGCCTGGCTGCCAAGCTCGCCAAGTCCATCAAGGAGCGCCTAGGGCCGCCTTGTCGATTTTTTCTGCCGATTTGTGCAAATCGGAGGCGCCCGGGCACCGTCTAGGCGGCCGCCTATGCCCATTTTTAGAACAGTGTCTAATAGTCAAATAACTGGATAGATTATGGAGTTACCTAGTGGCTTGAAGCCGGTGATAGCCTGTGTGGTAGTGTGATGTGATTTTTCATGTTCATATGATTATTATGCTATAAGTGCTTATACTTAATCGATGCATAGTATGCTTACTGAGTAGGGGTGAGCGTGGGTCGGTACAATTCGGAGATTGATAAATCTTTGGAACCATACCAAAATTCAGAGATCCCAAAATTCGATCTCCGGAATTGTACCAAAAAGTCGTTCGGTTCGGTTCGGTACAGAGATTTTTATTTTTCGGTTCGGTTCAGTTCAGTTCGATATTCGGGACTATTGGGACAGTTCGGTGCGGTATGGTTTGGTTCGGATCTTCGGAGATTTCTTATTTTTTTTTTATTTTGTTTAATGACTACATAGTTATATTTTAAGTTTTATATGCTTTAAAGAAACAACATTCATCAATAATTCATCATATTGAAGATTTTATGTTCAAATCAATTTGAGAAGTAACTCTAAATTTTAGTTATTTAATTTTTATATGCTTTTATAAAACCAACATTCATCAATATTTCCTCGTATTAAAGATTTTATTTTGAAATCAACTTTAGAAGTAACTCTAAATTTTAGTTAAGACTAAATTTGTGCAACTAATATTCAAAATTTAAAATTCAAATAAAATATAATTTTTTTTCCTTCAAACAATATTCTTTAACTGTTCATATTATTTTAAATAGTTATTTTATAATAGAAAAAAATTAATTGTAGATCAAGTATTACTAAGCATGAAATTTATGTGAAGGTTAATATTTATTACTATATTATATTGGATCAAAGTTGACATAAACATATTAATCACACATCTAATGTTAGAATTCGGTTCTTAATTTTAATTCTTCAGTTCGGTATGATATGGGACGGTTCGGTTCGATTTTCGGTACGGATATTTGTGAAGATATTTTTCGGTTCGGTTCGGTTCAGAGAAAGTCAAACGGTCAAGGGTTACTTTTTGGTTCCGAGTGATTTCGGTTCGGTTATCGGAACAGTTTGGAATTCTCCGAGTTTCATGCTCGTTTTTGTGTTTACGTATCGTTTTAGTGATTTGTGTTCGTTTTAGTGACTTGTGTTATTTATTTTTCTTTTATCTTTTATTTCGTAGGAAAATGCGCTCGACGTCACCCAACATGCCCGCACCCAGCCTATAAATCAGGTGAATTGTCTGATGTTTTTGGTTTTACAATATGTGTCTGTCTATATATAGTTATGATGTTTTGAACACGAGATAGTCGAAAATCGGTATGAGATTGTCTAGTAAACAATTGGTGCTTCATGAGAACACATTTTTCACTCTGTTTTTATTCAGCGATAACTACAATCACAAAATCCAACAGGGAAAGTTGATTTTTTGCAACATAAATTATATGATCTGATTGATGGTTCTTAACTTCCACTGAAAATACATGAAATACTCAATTAGGAGAATCGGAATACTGCTGCTGGAGGCCACACAAGCAAAGCATAGATCACCAACGTCAAAAGCTAAACATTTATCAAGTAGTACGTAGTGAATGACATAATTAATTAATAAAGCCAGCTGAAAAATCAATTAGTACTGTTCTGAGGTAATGAGTAGCTCTTGACACATTTGTTGGAGCACGATCCCACGCAGCCATCAAATGTTTCACCATCTGCGCACACACATACGAAGAAACAGATGAATTAATTTATTTTTATTTCTGAAAGAGAAAAAAGAAATAGATACATGGATATGATCAATTCGAGCGAGACAGATAAGTTTCACTAACTGGTATTATTTCTTGTGCTGAAATTCGAGCACATAGATAAAGCGCAGCCAAGCTTGCAGTAGTCGAGGCCATCCAGATCTTGTAATTCACCTACATCATTCTGAGATAGTTGATCAGAGGTGCAGGTTGTTATGCATTTGGGGATGCACGTAATAATTGACGAAAGATCGGCGAAGCACGGGACGACGCATGCCCCGCATTTAAGGAGATTGATTGCGCTCGACTTCCCAGTCAGCATTGCCAAAATCACCAACACATTGACTGCCATGAATTTTGTCACCTTCTCCATCTTAATTAATTTGCAGATTATAATTTGTTTCTGTGCTTATGAGTCTTTGCCCAGATGAATGCTAGCTTATATAAACTAAGTCTCACAGTATCACCACATAAGTTAGCATACACACTTGAGTAAAGAAAAATGATGCTCCTTGTCACTGTTGTGAGTCATGTGAGTGGCCAGCAACCCCTTTTTCTTACAACTTTGGTTGTCACTAGTCACATTTTTTCAAAATCTTGAAATTGTTTTTCAGTTGATAAGATACGAGTTCGTTGGATGGCCCATTTTTCTTACAACTTTTGTTGTCACATTTTGCATAATCTTGATATTGTTTTTCAAGGTGATAAGATACCAAGTCGTTGGAGGCTATTATCGGAATTTTACTATGATCCGGGAGGGCAAAATGGTAATTAGAGACTATCTATAGATCCCCTCATCAGATTGGAGGTGCCATTGTGTGTAGATGTCTTTATTAAGTATGAACGGCTGAAGATTCTACTTTGTAATGAAGAAAAAACAGTATATGTTTAGGCCACAACAATTCAACATGTGATTGACATTTGTCTTCTCCATTGGTAGCCTACTACCAATTTAATAATTCCTATTAAATTTAAGGGTTAATTGCATAAAGAACTTAAACCTTTTGTTTAATTGCAAATAAAACTAAACATTTTCAATTTAGTAAAAAAAATACCAAACTTTTATTAAGTGTTGCAATTTTGTCTCGCCCGCCGGACCTCTGCCAACCAATGTCGCCAACCGCCACCCGCCGCCGGCCAACTTCGCCGGATATTGAAATTTTTTACATGATCTTGTAGTTCTTCTCCGTGCCGACAACATGTCCGAGTTTCACGAAAAAAATCCAATGATAAGACTTCCAATTTTCCGGTCAAAGGTCGTAGATCTATAAATTTTATACGATCTTTGACCGAAAATTGGAAGCCTTATCGTCAAAAATTTTTCGTGAAACTCGATTATGTTGTCGGCACGGAGAAAAGCTACAACATCATGTAAAATTTTTCAATATCCGACGAAGTTGGCCGGCGGCGGGTGGCGGTTGGCAGCGGCAGTTGGCGGAGGTCCGACGGGTAAGACAAAATTGCAACACTTAGTAAAAGTTTAGTACTTTTTTGCCAAATTGAAAATGTTAAGTTTTATTTGCAATTAAACAAAAGGTTGAGGTTTTTTATGCAATTAACCCTAAATTTAACATAGATTTTGGATTGGTGTAGTGTTTACAATGCCATAATGCAACCCAAAGGTGTCAAATTCGAATCTTGGCTTTGTTTATTTTGCCGCGTTGGCTGTCATCAGTAACGCTAAGTCAGCAGGCAGAACCCGAAATTGGGTCTGGCTTCCAATTGTCAAAAATTGTCAAAGTGATGTATATATATGCCAAGTTTAAAAGTGATGAATATAATTACAAATTTTGAAAATGTCATGATTTTGTTAGCAATTAAGTCTCATAGAAAACTATATAAAAATCCTTTTTCGAGCCTTACTGAGCCGATCCGAGCTCGACTCGTTAACGAAACGAGCTTTAAAAGAGCTCGCCCTCGACTCGTTTACCAAACGAGTCGAGCCGAACTTGAACCTTAATGAGCCGAGTTCGAGCCAAGCTGAGCCAGACTCCTTTAATTTAACAACACTATTTGTGGGAGTGTATCCATTGTTGATGTTTTATGTCTCCACTCGTAGGAGTTTTAGTTATGTATCTTTTTTTGGTGCCTTAGTTTGGGTTTGCGGCTCTCGGATGTCTGGGAGCAGTAGTACTCCGTTGTCGGGTAGGCCTTCGCTAGTTCAGTTTCATAGTCGTATTGATTTAAATGTTTCATTGTCCTAGTCTGTATAAATTTGTGTTTTATTAATTTTAATCTATCATTTCGAAAAATAAAAGATAAAAATAAACTAGACCTGAAATAGGAAAAAAATTGGAGAATAATTTTTATATATTATGAAATTTTTATATATTAATTAAATATTTACTAAATAAGAAAAATATTATAAAATTTAATAAATAATTATATTGAATAATATAGTATTATTTTCTCATTTATTATATTAATAGTTAAATATATTAAATAAGGAGGAGATCGGCGGGATGATTCATACTTAGACTAGCAGATTCGTACTCGTCGGATTTTTGCCATAGATTTTTGTATCGCGGCAGATGCGTGGTGGAGGCGCGGCTGAAGCATGGCGGAGGTGCAGTGGAGATACAACGGCGGCACGTCAACTGCTGGTGAAGATGATGGTGATTGACGGGCAGGGGTAGGTGATTGACTGGTAGGAGTAGGGGTAGGTGATTGGGTTTAATGTGGGAGGTGGTGGGCTCCACATGTTGGTGTGTTTATATCAAATGTCTAAATTACCTTTAATTATTGGTCAAATGTACATATTTAACCCACTATGATAAAATAATTATCACATTGTCATTAATGATTGACCATATTTTGACTTCATCTTAACCGTTGATATGATTGATCCCATGGTTCAAATCCATTCTTATTGCTTTCACTATCTACCATTCGCATATGATTCTAACTCTGTATATATATATATATATATATATATATATATATATATATGAAGTTGGGATCATATGAGAATGGTAGATAGTGAAAGAAATAAGAATATCTATACAAAGTTTGATTCAACACATCAATGATAAAGATTAAGTCAAATTTTAAATATTGCAGTTAAAAATGTGGTGACAATTACGTAAAGAAGTGTACATTTCCTGGTAAAAAATTTACATTTTAACCATCAAATAAGGGCAAAATGGCAATTACTCATATTCACTCACATCACATGGGCCCCACCAAACTTCCATTTCTCTCTCACATGCGGAACCCAGCAAGGATCTTAAAACATGTCGCACAAATTCAGCCAGCGACACATACAACTGCAGACAACCGCCGAAGTTTCGGACGTTCTCTGCCGCTGTCGAAGCTTTGATGAAATTGCGTTATCCATGCATAACATATTTGGATACGATGGTGATGTAATTTTTTGTTTAGCCCGTTAAATTTTCAAGAATGTGTTTTAGTTTGTAACTATAATTTATTAGTCTCGTCCATTAAATATTAAATACTGTAATTTTAGTTGTAACTATTAAGTTATGATGTTTTTAGTCTCCTCTAAACGCTTCCCATCCTTACTAGATTAATTGGTGATGTTTAAATATGATTATGAAAATTATACCATATAGCCATGGACACCATGAAGATAAAAATATGCATAGAAAGCACATAACTCTGGGAGAGTTTAATATTCTGCCTTGGCTTTTACTTAAGAGAACTTCAAATAAAATTAATGTTTCATTATCTGATAATTAACCAAAAGGAAAAGGCTAAATTCGAATCATGCTCAAGCCTTGATGCTAATTAGAGCAGACGTCGATCGGATGCATTCACGAAACTTAGGACCATCTGCAAAACAATAATAAAACGAGTACATTTATTATACGACCAAAATTAAGAGTACAAATAATTAGTTATATATGTTTCAATATAAGAAAACAAAACAATATTAAAGCACATAAATATGAGATTTAGGCCTTTTGATAAGTATTGCTAGCTACATTTTTTTTTTTGTTACTCGTGGCAGGATAGCTGACTGAATTAGCAGATTAATTTGACCAGCTGATTGTATCAGCGCAAATTATGCCGAGTACTATTTAGAGTATTTACCTGAGGCAAAAGTCTGGCACTTAGATTTTGCACAAGCATGATCACATTGGATTTTAGCGAAGGAATTAATTCCACACCTCGTCTTCTCACAAGCTAGGATACACCTGGTTTGTGCTCCTGTTCCTATTTTAAACATGCATTTTAATTGACATCTCAATATGCACAGAAATTTAGACGCATCAGCCCCTGCAACAAACATTATCATGCAGATTATTGTAGCTAAATAAATTGAGTTATTATTTCCCATTTTCATGCTTCTTTTTTTTTTAAACAATTATAATATATCAAACTAGTTTTATGTATATTTTAATGTTGTACGTACGTAGAGTTGTTAATTTCTTATTTATAAGGTAACTGGAAGGACTTGTGTGGTTCACATATATAGTTTAGCAAATCATAAAACAGTTAATGAGTTTGAATTTATAGTTCTTGAATTTGGTAAAGGGAATCTAATTGTAAGATTTGTGAATTGGTTCCAATGCATAATCCATTTTCTATGGAAATTTACTAATGTCAATAATCTATTAATATATAATAAGAATTAACATAATTTATTTTTAGAAACTATTTCTCGTTAATTTCATTAATTATTGCCTAAAAATAGTAAATTAACAAATTCGTTAATTAGCATATCTGTTTTCCAATTAACAAATTCGCTAGCTATTAATTAGCATATCTGTTTTTCGTCTTTTTTTTAGGAATACAATAAAAAACTATTATATTTGTAGCTAATATGGAATCAAAATCCAAATAAATCTCCACTTTTTGTGGTTGTTTATAAATCTCCTCTTTTCAATACCCATATCTTGCGTTAATTAAGGAGTCTGCAAAAAAAAAAAAAATATTCAGCTAAATCAATTCATCAACTAATTACATAATATAATAATACATTTGTGAGATTCATTAAAGTAGACTTTAATGTAAATCAATTGATCAACTAATTCTTTTTTCGTTTCACGCAAGAAAAATCTTATACCATTCGATTTTTATTCCCTTCCATAATTTTTTTTATTAAAATACAATCACAAAAATCATATTAATATAAATTTAATATATATTAATTGATTCCTATATATATAAATAACGTATTTTATCAACTTCTCCAATTCCTTCACATAAAAAAAACGAAAAAAGAACTTTCGCAATATAGAAAAAAAATGGCACCGTTATTTGATACACTCAATGCAGTTAATAGGTCCAACAAGCTACAATTTCGCTAATATGGATGGGGCTTCTCGATTTCCCTTTTGGATGCCCAGAGGACCTTTCCCGACATAGTGGGCTCCATCAACGGTTTGATATGCGTATTCGTGTCCCAAA